AAAGGTCAAGAGAGTCAAGGAAATGATCACAAATTTAAGAAACTCCTGATTGTCAAACAGATTTTCATTAAATTTTCCCTACCATAGGAAATGTAAAGAGAACAGTGACTGACTTCTAATTTGACCACTTACACTATCTTCCTTGAAGCAAATTTAAAAGTCACAAGAATAAAGAAAATGATCACCAATTTAAAGAGCTCCCAATCATCAAACACATTCTGTCTGTACCATAGGAAATGTAAAGAGAACAGTGTGAAGAGAACAGTGTGACTGGCTTCTAATCTCTCCTTACATTATCTTCCTAGAAGCAGATGTAAAGGTTGTGAGAATAAAGGAAATGATAACCTAGTGAAGAAGCTCCTGATTGTCAAACAAATTCTCTTTGTCAGTACCATAAGAAATGTGAAGAGAACAGTTTGGAGAATATGAATACTTATGTTAGGGTGAAAAGGAGCCATAGGTCGAGGTTCTTGATAATAAACTAGTGTAACCATGTCTGATAGCATAATTTTTTTCTTTTCATTCTCTTAGGTTCTTCTGTTGTGGTTAATGAGCTGCTCTCCATAATCAAGTTGAGACAAAAAAGGTCATATTATGAACCAATTTAATTCAATGGGTTTTATGAGAAAATTTCTTGTGCAAGTTAGACTTGTAGGACTTTTCAAGAATTGCTGTTCATCATTGCCTTTTATACAAGCCAGGGGTTTAACAAAAAGTGTTCTTGCATCACCTGTTAAACCACAACAAAACTGGATCAGGTGTAAAAGGATAAGCCTTGGCTTACCATCAGTCCTATGCACTTTCAAGTCTGTTTCTGTGAAGACCCTGGCTAAGGATATTTCAGCCGTCAAGTCTGCCAGTGAATATCTTTACTTGTATGACAGATTTAAGGACTCACCTGCCATGACTCAAATGAATCGCATAACAATTCTGCATCATTTGGCCAAGGTGGCTGCCAGTGGACCAAAGAAAAACTTCTTCTCTACAAGAAAAGTTCTAAATGATGAAATGGAAATTTTTATCACCTTGTTGAACAATATTGGAAATGATCTTGAGACATGCAAGACTCGTGATCTTGCGACTATTGTATGGTCATTAGGAAAACTAAGGGAGCATGATGCATGGTTTGTTACAGAATGCGAGAATGAAATACTTCGGCGAGATCAGACCTCATTTCGGACACCAGCAGTGTGTAAGATTCTTATTGGTTTTGCTTCACTTGACTTGAAAAGATCCAAGTTCTTCGGAATTGTTGAACAAAGAATTCTGGATGGGCAGCTTAAGATGGCGAAATTTGAAAATCGTGGACTGGCTGGTGTTCTGTGGTCTTTTACCAAAACTGGAAACGAGAGTAAAGAACTATTAGAAAAGTTCCAAGAAGAGATTTTGTTGAGAGGTGTGAGAGAATTTAGCAATGACCAGCTTGCTCAGTTTTTATGGTCATTCACCCAGAAAGGAATTGTACCATGTGATAAACTGTTTTCAATTACAGAAGAGGAAATTTTGCAAAGACCAGTTAGAGATCTCAGTGCTCATTGCCTCAAGATGCTGTTATGGTCCTTTGCAAGAGCTGGATTTGAAGGGAGAGAAGGGCATGATCTTTTTGCTAGTTTAAGTCCTGAAATAATACGGAGAGGTGTTCATGATTTTGATGCAGATGATCTCTCTATGTTAGCATGGGCATTTGCCAAAAGGTGCCCAGATGCCCTAGAGATCTTTGATGTCATAGAAGAAGAACTCTACTTAAGAGGTTTTGCAGAGTTTGGAAACCAAGAATTGTCGTGTCTTTTATGGTCATTTGCAATGTCCGGTCATACAAGTACTGAGCTTTTTCTTAACAGCCAAAAGGTATTGATTTCAAGGGATTTAAGTATGCTAAAAGCTGAGCAGTTTACTCAGTTAGTTTGGGCATTTGGAAAATCAACACTTTTAAGATCAGAATTTTTAACAAAGGCAGTGAGTGACATGTTATCACATGCTACTGTTTACTCTGATGAGGAACTGTGTATGATATTAAATGGATGTGTTCAGGTATCAGTAGATATCCAAGAGCCTCTTAAGCAGTTGAAAAGAGAAGTTTTGGATAGAAACATGCCTCAAAATAAACCTGAGCTCATTCCTCAATTGGCCTCAGGTTTCTCTACATGTAGCTATGAAGCAGCATCAGTATTTGATGCAATAGAGAAATCACTGCTCACTAATGGCCTTTCTATGTATACAGAGCAAGAACTGCAAGGTTTAAGTATAGCTTTTTCTATAATGGATAGAGAATTTCCCAAAGTAAAGCAAAAACTATAGGAAGGGGGGGAAAGTTGATATAAAAAAATATATAAAACAGCATTATCCATTAAAAAACAGCATTATCCATTAAAAAGATTAGTCTTGCATTGTTGTATTTTTTATTGAATAAAAATTTTTTGTTTAACAGAACATTGTAGATGAGTATTTAATACGTCTGCATCTGAATTGTGTTTTTGCTACCCACAATAACTCTTTAGACACACTATGGACTTAGCACTTGTAAATACCTCAGTTTATCTAAGTATATTACCCTGATTTGGAAAAAAGCACTTGTGATTTTAAATTTTGACTTCCATTCTGCGCTACCACAATAATAGGCCAATCAATTTCAAGCTTCAACACCCCCCCTTACCCTGGCAACCCATGGGTATTTGACCCTCACCTGTGCCTGAAGGGTTGGGAATTTGACCTTGCCTGGAAGGAGGAGGGGTTTGGCTTCAAATTGACTGACCCTTAATACATTGATGAATAACCAAGGACCTCTTGAAGAGAAAGAACACATTTATGAACTTCACCTCTTAGAGTTAAGGTCCATTCTAATTTGAACCTATCCCTTAGCTTCCTAAAGCTTTGGCCGATGAATTATTTCAATACCCTACTCTGGATATTACTAATGAATTGTTAATCTAATTATGACAGGGCTCATTGCTTGTCTTTGACATCAAATTTGTAGATGGTTTTCTGTTTGTAAGTTTCCCCTGGCCGAAGAACTGGACTTGGGAAGTTAGTCTGTTGACCAAAAAATAAACATTCAAGCAAATGAAAACACATAAATTGTTATATTACTGAAATAATACAACTGAAATATCCCTCCATTGCAGAAACACTTTTCATGGGGACTTTGTAGGCTTGAGGTTTGATGTTGGTTACAAATTACTATTGGATACAAACAAACACAAAACTAACTTGGTTAACAGCGTCAGGGTAATTCTGCGCCTCTAGGCAGAAGGCACCAAACTTATGGTAAAGAACACCTCCCTTGCCAGAGAATCCATCAAATCCATTGGCAGTGTAAAATTGAACTCCAGGCTGATCGGTGAACATTTTAAGAACACGCCCACTGCTTGGATGATACACTCTGCAAGATCATTACCATGGACTTGATTATTGGTATACTCCATGGTAAATTTAAAAGGTTTATTAAAATTTGTATTGCTGTCTTTGTTATTCACTATGTTCAGTTTCTGGTGATGTTTAACTCTCTCTTTGGAGGGAGCTCTCAAGCTGGTGAATTGCGGTGTTGCAGTCTTTGTAAAAAGGACTCCATAGCCATGCACAATCAGTGCTAACCTCAATTTACCCACAGTTCATGCTCTTTGTAGGGCTTTGTAATGTGCTCAGTTGTGTAACTAATTGGACATATCAATCATGTGTGGGTGTCCATGATATTGCAGTGTCTGAATGTGTTTAATTGTCAATTTCTCATGTACTGATGTTGTGTTTTGCGATATTTTTTTGCAATGTTGTGGATCTCAGAACTCCCCAAAGTTCCTATCAGCTTTCTGAGGCTTCAAATTGACAGAAGCTCTGTCTAAATACGATAATTTAAATTAACTTATTTGTAGATAAATTAAATCTAATCTCCTTACTCAGCGCAGCATTCTTTTTTTCCTTTTAAACAATAGTTGTGATCATAGCCATCTATTTTATGAATGTCCTTTCCAATAGGTTTGGGCTTGGTGAAGTCAAAGGCATCATTTGGGCTTGACACAGAGCATTCCTCACCTAGAATATATAATAATCACTGTTAGTTAAAGAGCACAGATGTAACAGAAGGAAAAAGATATACAAATTGAAAGATAACAGGCCTCTGCACTACAGCCTAAGAAGGGCCATATCTTTACATGGAACTACACCATACATGTACACAAACTGAAAATTTTAGACTGTGTGTACCTGTGGGAATCTGCACATCATTTAGGGGCAGATAGTGCTTAGCATGGATCTGAGCTATGTGATCCAAAACATCATGGTTAACCTGACAAAGAACTTCAGACAATCAATAAAACAAGAATAATTTTACAATATCAAACAAATTTAACAAATTTGTGACTTAAGTATCATTTAAAAATGTTTGGTTGAGAAAATCTTGATTTTTCAACAAATTCTCCTTGTCAACACCATAGAAAATGTATACAGAACAGTGAGGAGAAAAAGCATACTAATGTTGGGGTATGAAGAGTTAAAAAGCTTGTACCTGACCAGCTAAGTTAAAGTAGCCATGGCTGGTGAGATTGATGATGGTGGGAGCCTTGGTTGTCGCTTTGTAGTTGAGTTTGACTTCATTGTGATCAGTAAGTGTGAATGTGAGTCTTACTGTTACATCTCCAGGAAAATTTTCATCCCCATCTGGACTTTGGTGAACAAACTTCACTTTGTTTTCTCCCTTTACTTCACTTTTCCAATTATACTGATGAAAACGAAAACAAAGACAACAATGACAGTCAGAGCAATTTTTAACTCACACAAACTAAAAGACTCTTGGGAGAAATACAGTTCTTTATCTATAAGCATCATCATATTTAGCACAAAGCAGACCTTGTTGAATCCAACCCATCCTCCATGTAGAGTATTTGGAGGATTATTGACGGCTAAATTGTATTCTTTGTTATCAAGGGTGAACTTTGCATTTGCAATCCTGTTTGCAACTCTTCCAACTGTAGCTCCGAGGTAATGAGGGTTACTCAGATAGTCTGAATAAAAAAGGAAATATGAATGATCGCAATTAAAGTTTCACAAACAAAATGTCCATTGCCATGCACAATCAGCAACACAATTGTTGACCACATTATGGCCCAAATGCAATTAATTCTAGAAAAGTACACCTAAGAAGTTCAATTTAAACTCCATGAATAACTATTGCCAAAGTTGCCATAGGAAGCCAGTAGCTGATGGAAACCCCCCCCCCTCCCCCCCTCACCCCCTGCTATCAGAACATTTTATGCTAGGTTACTTTGTGAATTGTGATCAAAATTAGGAAATAATATTTTTTATTCTAACATCAAATATATATGGCTTAAAGAGTTACTCAAAAGTGTCCCAGAGTGCTACATAACATGTCTCAGAGAGTTTCAAATTTCAAATTTTTCCAGGGGAACAAGCCCACATACCCACTAGAAGGGTGAGTTACACAGCCACATGCTATGCTTGCTTTTACTTACACGCATAATTCAATTCAGCCACCTCCTCAGTTCAGCTCATGCATCTTTTACATTCTCTTGTGACAACCCTGTAAATTCTTACATAGACTTCTCAGTGATGGAGATTACAAAGATTAGATATTACAAGCACTTACCCTCCAACTTATCATAGCCCATAATGACATCATCCATTTTTCCATTCCTGATTGAGTTAAAAAAAAAAAAAAAAAATTGTGAGCTAGGGGTTTAAAACCATATTTCTTTATAAATAAGTGCCTAGGCCCTTATCTAAAAATTTAGCTTAATTCGAAAGAGGGCTAGCAATTAATCATTAATGTCACGAGAATTGAGGAAACAATCACAAACTCAAGAGGCTTTTGATTGTAAAACAAGTCTCCATGTCAGCACCTTAGGAAATGTTTATGGAACAGTACGAAGAATATAAATACTGCTGTTTGGGTGTAAGGAGTTAAGCTAATTAGTTGATAATTACCTCCACTTTACTGAATAATAATTATATATAAAAGTAATGGTAAAAAAAGTGTTTGTAAGGTTAAGATAATGATAACGACAGTTGGTCGTACATTTGCGAAATGCTCGGCTGTCTGGTTGTACATTACAGGTAGTCGGATGCTGTGTCAAGCACCGGAAAACCTCGTAATAAAAGTCTGTCCATGAGTTGTGCAATGTGTACGAATAAAGTTTTATAGAATATTCCGTTTACTTTCTACCACTCACCCTCGATCCTTGCCACTAAATCAAAAGGCAAACAAACTCAATATGCAATATATAACGTATCACGAAAATTTCAAGAACAAACCCAAGTTTACCTATCAGGGCATCTTAATGCTACGAAAGTCGCTCCGAACGAGATCACTTCCAGTTCCAGTCCGTGTTTGTTTCTGATAGTGTATTTCCAAATATCCTCTCCTGATTCTGTTTGGCCAAAAACCTCCCTAGAGACCACCATTTTGAAACTACGATTCTAACCCGGACTGCGACTCAAAGGAAAGGCTGCCACAGACACCAAAAATATTCGATACCGTCGAACTCAACGTCGGAACTGAATTGAAAATATTGATTCCAGCAGGAAGTACAGATGCTACTCGTGGCAGCCTTATGACCTGTAGGGATGAGCCGGAAATAATGAATCGGGCAAGATTTCCTTACCGCTTTCCTTTCCATTCTTCATTAAATATGAATTCAGTTCTTCGATTGAAATGAACATTGATAACCATTTCTACAAAGGCTAATCGGGCTACACGAAAATCTTTCCAATATTCATTACCTTCGATACCAAGGTTGCAGATCTGTAGAATTCAGAGTTAACGAGAAGTATCCCTCGCTACAGCACTCAGCCGCTCACTTCCGTTCCCGTGCGCGCTCGTGCCCTTTGTGGTTCCCTGAGCCTGCATTCTACTCATCATCACCTCGAGGCGAGGAAAGAGCAATCGTGTTGATTAAGCGATCGATTGTTGCTGTAGAATTAATTCAAAGTGGTGTGACCGCGAGTGCCCTAATATAGGATGGTTTATACTATGATCAGTCTCTGTGGTAACCTTTGACTAAATTGCCCGTGTTTGATATAACGAAAGAGAATAAAACGACAAATAACAATCACAAGGCCATCGACAGAACGCCGTAACGACATAGAGCGAAGAGGCGCGCCATGCGAGGCGAAATTGCGCCTCGAAAAATTCTAAATGTCAAAAGACAACGGCGCTTCGGTCTCAGTGTATTTTCGATTTGCAAATTATACAAATGGGATCATTGTAGCTATCGCAGAGCGCTGTGAAATAACAGTTCACTCTCGGTGCCCGGGAATTCCTGGGAACAATTTTTCTCTCCCATGAGTCAATGCGCGCGTGCTTTATCTTGAATTTTAGCGGGAAGTCATATCGGAAATCTTGAGTTGCCACGGAACTATGTGTTGGGTCTTCATGCAAGGGATCTTACGAGAAGGTGAAGTTTATATTTCAAATTTTAAAGTGTAATGTTACAAGTTTCATTTATCAGGGGCAGGGAATTGTCTCAAAATTGCCTATGTGTGTTTATTTCTAATTGCCATAAAATTCCAGCAGAAACGTTTAGGAAATGCTTCTTATCTCTGTCAATCGGTAAATTTATTCGCTCTTGTCTCTCGGGATTGTTACCTTGGACGTAAACAGCTGATAACTAATCTATCCAGACACTATTTACTTATTTAAGATACCATGTTGCTGTTGGCTCGTTCAGTAATGAATCACAGACAATTGTGTCACTGATGTTTTTACCACATTGTTGACGTCCTCTGTAATCTATTACTCAAGTATTACTGTACAGACCCACCACAACATAGAGTCTATTTATTTTAAAAAAGCAAAATGTTGTTTATGGTGACGTCACCTACATGCGTCTATCCTACAGGTAATACATAAGAACAGATCAAAATGCATGTAGGATTAAAATAGCAGATTACCTGTAAGTCAAAATGCAATGAAAGCGCAAAAGTGACACACTAGGTGCAACCGAGTATGTCATTGATGTTCTTAATACATTTTGACGCGTTTTCTGATCTAATACTGAACAGAAAAACGCTAACTAATAAACGCTAACTAACTAACGCTTTAATAACGTAGAATCTATTAGTTACAATGGTTATAATATCTCTGTATCTGTTCACCACTACATCATAAGTAGGAACCAATCAAAATGCGGGCATGACTCAGTGTATTATATAAATTATCATATCACCTAATATAATCACATAATATATACATACGTAGGGGGTATGTATGCCGAGCCTTCGAGTGTTGATAATAATGCTTTCGGTTAATGTACAATTTCACCAGGAATTATTTTTTGGCTACAGGCAAAAAATTTTTGAAGTTAATAGCGATGAAAAGACTTGTTTCATGCATAGGAGTGGTCACTTTTCTCAACAGAGTTAATTAGCCAATTGAGTAATTTGGGGCTGCCATTGAAGGAGCTGTCTTATTTATATTCTGCTGTTGATTTAATTTCACAAGGCTTGGATGCCTCTATTGTGGCTGGTTTAACCTTTCCCTAAGATCTAACTAGTATTTCTCCCTACTGAGTGTCAAAGATTTCTAATTAAATAAGTCAGGAGAATTTTTCATATCAAGATAATGCCGTTGAGCTTTTAAGCATATCTGTTCTTATAAACTTTTTACAAGTAACATATTGGAATCACAGAGAATATTTGAATGGGTTACTACCATTTTGACAAGTATGGAACCTTGGTACGCGCGGGTTTCGCGCGCGCAGCGATTTCCACCATTAAGGATTAATCATAAATGCAGCAAGTATAGCAAGTGCGGCCAAACGTTTTCATACCCCAGCAGACGGAACCAAGTGACAAACGAGACAGACCAAGCGATCAGTGCGTAAAATATTGACTGTGCACACATAAAACGTCGATACGGGCAGGTATGATAAAAGAATTCGAAGTGCCGCTACAATTATTATCATATTATTAGCAGCCTTGTTTCTTTTCTTTTTTTTTTTTTATTATTCGCCTGGTATCTTCGTTAGATAACAGCTGCTGTGATTGTGGGTGGCGTCTGTGATTCTGGTCTTCAAAGAACACAGCTGTGTCAATGTAGGCAATGATAACTATGTGAAGGAGAAAGACAGAGGTGTTTATAGTACTAGCAATCACCACCTTTAAGTTTTTATTTTGATCTAACACCAAATTCTTGTAACTATTATACAAGAAAATGTGTAGTAGTTAGAGGGGAGAATTAGCAACTAGATCTTGGGAGTTCAAGGGTTAACAGCGCTCAATAGCAACCGCGCGTGAATATAACTGATGTGATTTCACTGTACCCCTCAAAAATGGCTCGAAACAGTTTTGTTGGAACAAATCCCACAACAATCCCAGCGATCGTAACCTTTACATATACCCCGAAAATCTGCTTAATATATTTGTAGAGATACCATACCATTATTGCAGGATAACTGGTGTGTTGTCGTCATAAAATAGTTGCAACGAAATGAACTGAAATTCTGCGAAAAGAAAAACTTTATTTTTAACTATTTGCCATATGACTCTGAAAATGAGTTCAAATAACGAATTGTTGATGGAGACGTGACACCGTGTGTCCATGTGACACAAAATAAATTCAGAAGTTCCTTTTTAAACCCTGATTATAAAAGTTACGAGCACTGATCAATCACAACCATGTCAAGCAACAGAGGCCAAATGTTTCATGCAAATCTTGATCCTCAACAACTTTGATCGTTGTTGTTCTTCATACCGTTCCTTTTTTGACTGGCTGTTCAGTCCAGTCCATTCCTTACTTTCGTCGGATGGAAAAGCGCGTGTCAAGAACTGACCTATGGCGCTCTTGATAACCAACTCCGGCGTTTGACTCATCATACGAACGGGTTTGCGGCCGGGAAGTTCGTCCTCATTTTTGGCTGCGACTTTTGAGTACATCAAGAGGAATTCTCGAAACATGTTCACTTGAGCTAAGGTTTTGGCTTCGTCTCTCTTACGCACAATTTCGGGACATGACATCGCGGAGACTTTGCGCAAGATTTTTCGACTGGTTAAGTTTGGAACGTAACCCTTTGCGGTAGCTGGTCGAATGACTCTTGTCTCGTCCGTTTGCAAATCGACCTTGCGCCTTCTCAAAATTGGAGAGCTCAAGGTTCTCTGCGTCATTTGTGATACTGAACTTGTGCATGATCTTGCGGACGAAATACGCCTTGCAGATATTATTCCTTGCTCTTGGCGTGAGATTTTTCGAGAGCGTGTTCGATTTTGTCTTGAAGTTATTGGACCTTGGCATCTATCTACGCCCGAGGCAAACGTTGCTGCGTTCATTACTCTCTCTTGATTTACGGAAACTTTACGAGGAGTCGCCGATTTCACACTTCGGATTTCGCTGTTGTCCCCGACCTCTGCAACACTTACGCTTTCAGGTACTTGTTCTTCTTCGTATTTGTCAGCTTTCTCTTCAAGCGACTCGCCTATTTTGGGTTCAACATTAACCATTTCGTATCCTGATTCAGACTTGACAAATCTAACACTACTTTTTCTTCTTTTAATGATATTTTGTAGTGACTCTTTTAACTGTGGATCAGTAAATTGATTCAATACTTCCTTTTCATCGCACGAAATCTCTTCGGGAAGCATTTTTCGCTCGCCCACTCCACTATTTTCTGGATCTGAGCAAGTACTTAAAAATATCTCTTCATTGCAATTGGACATTTCGAATTCTATATTTGATCTACGCTCGCTGTCACTTTGTTCTCTTGAGCTTAAGTTTTCTGATACGTAAGCTTTCGACTGAGAATTCTTTCTGATAATCATGTCAGAATTATCCTTACAACTGTTATCAATTGAAATAAGCGGAGTGGAAGTGGTCGTGTATCGGCTATAAACACTCGGCTTATTTTTTTGTGGGCGATTCAGCGTTGTGTGTTTTTTAGTGTTTAATGGAGTCTCTCGCGGTTCCTCCCTACAGTACTTTTTGTCTCTGTCAATTCTCTTGCTTCCTACTCCAGATACAACACTCGACATTTTACCCGCAGAACATCCAAGCCTTCCTGCATCTGGTTTCTTTGACGTTAATTGACTATTCCTGTCACCAGTCTTGTGGCCTTCGATTTTCAACTGGCTTTGCAAACTTTTGCGCATAAAATTCATTTCATGAATTACTCCACGAGGGTCCTTTTTCGCTCCTGATGAAAAGACGTTATGTGTGTTTCCAACCTGGTTTAATGCCTCCAAAATGGCTGCTTTCTTCGCGGTGTTTGCAATCATCTTTTCACGGGCTAAGTTTAATCTGCCCACAACATTTCCCAATGTAATATTTTCATCCTGCAATTTACACTTTGAAGTGTTGGCAGGCCTTGGCTTCGTTTCCTTACCGTGTGATGTCATGATTTCCAGGAATTGAAATGGTTGAAGAGATTCTTTCGTAAACAGGACTGTTATTTGGAAATATTTATCATTGCCGTCTCGAGACTGAGTGTTAACTCTTTACTTTTCAAATTGTGTCAACCAACATTGATCTCAATCGATAAGTTCAGGTGTTGTAATTGAATGGTTTTTCTTTGTTGTCAGCTTTTACGTCGGTTGCTATACGCTTTGGAAAGGCATAGCAACTAATCTACATCGGCGCTGCAATTATCAAAACGCTTCCTTTTCAAACCAACGTAAATTCCTGACTCGAAAAACCGGATCTTAATCAAAGCTGCACGATTTCCCAGTCGTTACGTCTACGATAAATATTCAATGGCGAAGGAGTTGATGTAAAATTAGCTTCGCCCTTAAAGTGTTTCATCTAATTGAAGCTCATTTGCACTGTTTTTCTCTCGAACCGAAGATTAAGTCATTCAATTGTTCAGACATCGGACGGTTGTTTTCGTCTTTAATGCCTTTGTTATATATTTGCATTATTGGACAATGTGATTTTAGCATCGACGCCTTGAATGCTTTGTTTTCGCCCCAATTCTGGTTGAAAAGCTATTTACAGATGTTGAAACTTAGCATTGTTATAAACAGTTTTTATATACGCACTTGATCTTGCTTTTGAAAGTCTGTTTGAGAAGCTACTTTGCCTGCACTCATGGTTTGTGAAAATGCACGAGATTTTGACTGAATACGGCCCAAAGAAATTGCTTTTGACAAGTTTTTTGAAAAGTGATTTACAAGGTGTAACCGTTAAATAAACAATCGCAGTAATGACAACAACAAAGGTGTCTTCGTCAGAGCAAATGGACTGACTTTTATTAATTTTCTTTTCAGTGACGTATGCCGATAAAAGTCGAAATAGCTCAGCAGTTTTCAAAATGGAGACTCTCCCAATTAATCCGTAAACTTTTTCAAAGTTAATCAGTTCATATTTTCTCAATGCCCTCTCAATTGACAATAATAATAACACAGTCTATGTTCTCGGGTCCTTATATGTTTTGGGCCCTTCTTAGAGCTCATTTTAACCTCCGCCTAACGGCTCGGGGTATGATGACTCTGTGTCGGGAGGGTACACTCAAAACATGTTTATGCCCGCGAGCATAAACTCTCTCGTTTTATTACCTATAATTATAAATACCATAAATATTACCTTCGAGGACTAGTTGTTTACGATATTGAAATGATGAGCCCCTCGGATTTTGGTCCGAATTTTCATTAAGCTCTCTTCTATTTGAAGAAATGCGGTACTTGTCGTTAGAACGATGCTCTGGACTTTTCATAAACTTGGATTTTAGAGCAGAACTGATCAAACCACGAAGCACGATTAACTTTTTATCAGAAAGCTTTCATCACGATAAATTTTCACTACATGTGATTGATCTAGCTCTTTGCCACACATGGCAAAGCATGCGAACGGCAATCAGGAGGCTTGGGTTCGAATCGTCAATCGGGTTACTTTCATTTCGTTTCGTCACAAACGAATTTACATCTCTCCTCACGGCCAAGTCGTGTTCCTTGTTTAATGAGCGGACACTCGTGGCTGACAATTCTGTCTCCTTTATCCAGAAGTTTCAATAACTTTTTCCATAAGCGGCTACCGATTTTGTTATAGGCGGCGGTGCAATCAGGCGAAACCCAAACACGGTACTGAGAGGCCTTACAGTCGGCGGTAGATTGCTGGTAAAGCTGGTGTTTCCTACTTTAATAACCCTTCGTTGGCCCTTTGTCCAACGAAGGGCCAAAGCTAGAAATGTCAGATTTGTAAACTCTTACGGTGGCAAATTTACATTATCAACTCAGTTGAGAGAACTAAATTATATTGCAATCACCGACACAGCACCACAGTTTCTTTAGAAACTTGCCCCTTTATCTAGTAATGGCGTAGCTCACCATAGAGTTATCTATAGCACAGTGGCAGAGCATTGGGGTGCCAAGGCCGAAGATTTAAGGTTCAATTCCACGTGAGAAACTCGGAAATTTTCTTGTCTCAGGTCCGTGTCAAAAAAAGTTTGCTTTCTCTTTTCGAAGATCGTGCTTAAAATTTTTCAATCTTTCTTATCCCAGTGTTCAACAGATTTGGCCAAAATAGGTTCGAAAAGATCTTAGGACGCAATCAACCGCAATGACCATCTTGCAAATTGTAAATAAACTGAGAAGTTTAAAGTTGTAGTTAAGTGTTTTGAAATGCCAACTTTTCCCTTTGTAAGAAACTGCCTCTTATTTACCCGTTACCTCGCTTGAGAACTAATGAATTGCTTCCGTTCTGTACAAGGCACTTTATTAACTGTCCAAGCCCTTTTGTTCGGAGAGCTTTGTACAAACAATAGTCGAAAAACCTCCAGAGTGATGCGTGTCAAGTTATGCAAACACGACTCACCATGTGTTTGTTTTCCGTGTGCCGTAGTAACGAGGAGTAAACAGTTTTTTACAATTTAGCAGTGGCTTTTAGAACTGGAGGAATATAGCTAACCTCAGTTTCTTCCTAAATTAAGGAATCTTTTGATCTAAGCTCGGTTGGAGTGGAAACTTTTCAAGATTCGTGTTACAGGCGTGTTTTAATTAATTGTTATTTCGCGTAGTTTGGTTTAAAAAATGTCATTTGACTTGCCGCAGTTTCAGCAAACTTTTGGGGAACAAGTGCGTGAAATACGAGAGCCCAGTGAATGGATGGATCTTAAAAGCCGAGTTGAAGAGGAGAAATTCCGAAAATTAAGCGCCGACTTGGAAAGAAGACGAGTTCGAAGGTCTGTCTATTATGCCGAGGAAGAGAAAAGAGTTCTCAGGGAACTTGACAACTTACAGAGAGACCAATATCGATTTGAGCGCGAAAAACAACTCCGACTGAGGAATTCAATCTCGTCCTTGTACGAAAAAGGGCATCCGGCGAACGGATCGCCAACAGAAGTTAATACTCAACTACCAATGGACCGAAAAGCATTTGGTGGGTCGGCGTCTCTTGCATTTGATCCTGCCGTTGAGAAGAAATCGCTTTCTGCTAGAAAAGCAAGTAAAGAACATACTGTGAGTTACAGCGCGACGGGAAAGGTATCAAAAAATTACTCATCGTTCAACAGGTTTCCTTTTATCGAGGAAGGAGATGTACAGCAATTTCACAAGTGCTGCAAGTCTGCTGCGAAGATCGAGTGTCGGCGATGGGGAGAGGCTTGGTTTTATGCTAAAAATGAGCAAGAGGTATTTGTGGATAGCAGAAAACGGTGGACTGCTGTTTTACTGAAATCCGAAAGAGAAAGAATGGAAATTTTAAGTAAAAAAGGTGCGGCATTGATGGATTCTGGAACAGGCGTAAAAACCCACTGTGTCGGTGATGAAACAAAAATTTATGGAGATACTGGGACGGAAAGCGACACTAAAAAAAGACAAGGAAGTCTACCTCCTAGTTTTGAAGCGAGGAAAGAACAAAGTTATGACAAGAATAGAAGCGTAGAAATCAAGGGAAACAAAACATTAAACTTTTATGAAGCTTTTAGTCTTCCACAAGCACACGCGTTCAACACTGGAGAGAGTTCCGTTGACGAGACAACGCGAAACACAGACAAGTCGATCTCTGAGGATTGTCAAGAAGTTAACATCAATTCGCTGCAACTGATTGCAGGGGAAAAAGTGGTAAAATGGGCGAAGAAAAGTCGAAGTGTTTCTTCTGAGGAGAATAGGAAAAAATTAAAGGAAACCTCAGTGATTCCGATGCCTGCTATTCACGAACTTGTTACAGAGGGAAAAAATTCAATTTCAGGAGAAAGTTCTAAAACCCTTCCCCGACGTAAACGAACCTTCTGTTTTTTGCCAAAGGTAACGAGGGAAACATGAAGTTTAAACTTCTTGAAAAAGGCGTTTGATTTTCCCGGCTATTTTATTTATATTTTGAAAACTCTGAGACATTTCAGTGGTCTAACTGACAATTAAAAAACTTGACTGGCGTGTTTCGGGCGTACAAAGGAGTTATGACTGTATTCTTGGCTTTTATCTTTCTTTCGCTTATTGATAGATACAGGTCAATTGATAGCTAACAGCAGCACAAAATAAATGGGAAAATTTCCAAATATCTAAAAAGTTATCTGTGTGCGTCACAAAATTTAATGACATCGATGAAAATAAATATTTTTGTCGGAACTTACATAAGAAAGGGGTGGGTTTTAGTGCAAAGTTAATTGAAATAAGTTTTTTCCCTAAGGTAATGTTTCTGTCAGTTTCGTGCTGGTTTGTTTGTTATTTATTTAGCGCTTTATTTCGGCAGTTCACTTACAGATGTAAACGAAGCGCATGTTAAGACACCTATTAACTTTCCATTCTTTTCAGTTTTTTTGAAGTCTTTTCAGGCTTCAAATTTTAATTAAAGATTTACATGCCTGGTTCGTAATGTATCTTGACGACGCACAGTTATTTTTATAGCTGAAATTAAGAGACGAAAATGGTACTTGAAATTCTGAAATTAGTTGTCGGAAGAAAAGAAACTGAATTGTTTAAAAGCACCTGCCACAGAGGGGGGCAAAAAAAGAAGAATAATCAACGTTTCCCAGTTCAAACTGAAGCAAGCTCCGAGTTTGCTAGAGAACTCGTTTGTGTACCGAGCCATAAACGTGGTTCCTGCTCATTTAGGGCATATAAATCGTGCAAACTGCTAGGATCACTGGCAGAGCACGCACCTGAAACTGAAATCGGAAAAACGTGGAATCTGTCTAAATCACACACCTGCCACTGAAATCGGTAAAACGTTGAATTTTGTCTAGAGCTTGCTAATATTTGGGTGTGCATATCATTAACAAGACCACGTTCAGTTCAGCGAGCCAAGTGAGGCAGTGGTGCCATTCTAGACAAACTTTAAACTTTAAGGGAAAGGAAAGTAAGAATAAATGCAAAACAAAACAATCAGCTACTGAAGTAACTGATTAAACGAAGAAGTGCGTCAAAATTCGTGTGTGAGTAATTTAGGCGGAATGTGGTTCTTCTTTTCCACCTCGCAAGGACATGAGCGTCGAATTTCTAGCATGCAGTCAGACCTACTCTCTTCATTTAAACATTTTATTTGGCGAAGTAAGGTTCGAACCCTATTTCTCGATCAAATTTGCCGTGCCAAGTCTTAACTCAGGGATAAAATGACAAATATAGCTCACTTTTCTAACTGAGATTTTGACCAAATCTTACGTTGCCACAGCAAGAAGTTAAATTATTTTACTTTGCCTTGTTATAAATGAGTTTATGTATTTTCATTTTCAAAGTGCACGATGCAAGTGTTAAAAATCGATTGTAACCAATTTGAAAAAGGTTTAAATGGGCGTTTTCTATAAAGAAAGATGAGGATTTAGGAAATTATCCTAACACATCACTCTCTTTAATTCAGCAAAAGGAAAACAAGACTTAAAATAATTTTTGCTTTCCATCAGGGATTGTTATGATAATTAGTTTTCTGCACTGGTGGCGCGATAAAAGTTTGTTTACGTCGATGATAGATTTCGGTGCATTAATTTTTTCCATATGCATGGCCTTGTTCCCTTAAGGCGGAATATGGCAATTATTTTATTTTGGTTCTATCTTTACACTTAATTTTTGGCAATTCTCTATGTGAAAAAGCCTTTTGGTTGTTGTCCTACCTTTGAACCAATCATTTAAATTAATGTTCCGAAACTCTGATATAAAAACAAATCTCAATTTACGTATTTTCTTCAGACTGTCATTTCTTTACCGGAGCACATATTGATGTATTCTTACTGTGCTTATAGCTCATGTTCCTCACAGCTACTATAGACTTAAGTGACGTTTGCGTTCAATTTGGCTTCGTCGAAAGAGATTATGATCTGGAGGCTGTTCAGCTTGATATGAATATTTCGATAGGTGGTAACTTAAATTGGTCATTTGCCGTCGATGATTGATGTTAAGATAATAATGTTCATTGAAACAGCTGTTCTTGCGGTTTGTTTCACGAACTGTTTCAACGACACTCTTTGCGGTGACTTTCCGCATCCACGTGTCCTTACACACATATCCGTGTGGATCCGTGGAACGTTCTGAATCAGCGTGAACGTGCGTTACTGGAAAAAGCGTTGAACGTAATACGAACCTCACACAATACAGGGAATGTTACGGTTTGTTTAATTATCGCCTAGGGCGGGTTGAATAAAGCATTCCAACCACAAACCAATCAGATTCTAGAAAGTGCGGAGAAAATGGGGAGGTCGCGAAATTCAAATACGTGCTATGAGTGGTACGAGATGTTAAAGACAGTGTGAGTAGCGTTCTGAAAGCGCTCTACAAAGATTAGCTTTTTTTAATATTGTGAACGCATTGCAGCAAAAATAGACTACCGAGCTAATTGTTTAAGTATCTTTAACGTCAAGTGGTAAATTTTGAGTACACAGAAAATATATCAAATAAGAAAATTAAAGAGATTCTATGATCAGTTTTACCTGATAATAAGCTGAACTATTTCCTTTAAGATATTGGACTTTTCGAATTAAGTTTCTTATCAAAAATATCGTATTTTTGTTGAGCTTTTTGAATTATTTTACTTTGAAAACGTTGAAATTTCAAAATAGCCCGAGAATTTAAGCGCCATTCGTTTAAATATACCATGGTTTTAGCTTGAAGCATTTCAAAGGGGTTTATTGTGATATTGTTGTGACTTGTTTGGATAAAAAACAAAATGAACCAAATACATTAAATATGATTTTTCATTTATTTTCATTTTAAGTTGCTACGGGCGTATTTTTGCATTCATATACCTCTCTTATGAAATTTTCTGTAGCCCTTTTGTAAGTTTCTCATGTAAATATTTTAGTCCTCCCCGCTAAAATGTAAGAAAAGTTTTTAATGGCGCACGCTGACTGCGTTGAAGCGCCGAGCTGGACCAGCTTACAGATTAAAGTTTCTGTCTCGCTTTCAATCTTTGTTGTTTCGCGGTTGTCATAATAATGAGAGGCATTAAATTGTTCTTCAGCGACAGGGGAGGTTGCAGTTGTTTCCTGCAGAGTTCCACCTTTGTCGTGATTGTGAATTAATTTGTGATATCTCATCTAAAGCGGACCAAAGTGAAAAAGCTTATTTTTCTCAATATCCGCCAGAATGCCTACCGGCACAGGCGAAAGTATCCGCATTTGACTCTCCTTTTAATTGTAACCTCTAGCGAGCCGAAACTGTCTGGGTTATCTCCTATAAACTTTATTTGCTTTGGAAATAACAAAAATAATTACGAACTGCGGGATATAGAGGTTGTACCCAGAAATTACAATTTTTTGAATCACGAGCGTTTGGTTTGTAAAACTTGTCACATCGAGAAAAAGAATCTTAGCTAATTGAAGACATGGTCCTTTTTTTTTATGTATTGCCATCTCTGGCTTCCGAAATATTTTAAGTTTAGCTTTAGAGGCTATATTGATTCTTAAATGTACTAGCGAGACGGTTTTTCTGAACTTTTTTCGACATCAGACTTGGCGTTAGTTCACTTTCCAATCCGAATCTGTGTCCTCCACTATGTCAATATATTCGCTTGCTCATGATAGTTTGTCACCAGGTTAAAAGGAGGCAAAGTGAAACCAACCCTAAAATCATTCCGTTTGCATGGTGTCTGCTCCATGATTAAGAGAACCGCATTTTGCATCTTTTAATTGATGTAAGAAGCGTAGACTCGCTCTGCGTTTACCTTATCTTCGTCACTATCATAACATTCGCTTTGGCTACATGAAGTTCTGGATGCAAATTCTTGATCATTTTTAAAGTCATCTTCGTTTTCTAATGGAGTTGGATTTGTCGGTCTTTCCAAAGCGTCCTCAGTCGCCGAAAAAATCAACTCGTTACATTCCCCCGTGCTTCTCGAGCGGATGCGCGGGTTCGTTTCCGTGCTACTGCTACGACTCGGAGCTACACGTCCGTACGACGCGCGTGGCCTCTCGCGATCTCGAGGCCGAGCGATTTTTGGCGTGCTGTATATGTCTGGAACTTTTGGCTTGCCGCCGAGTGATGCAGGTTCCTCGAGCGCACGACATTCCTTTCCTTTCAAAAGCGTCGGCCTGCTCAGAACAATGTCGTCCCCCGGCCTGTGTTTTCGCTGGCTCCTGTGTGGGTCAAATTGATCCAAAGAATCCAGCATTTTGCCATTCAGTGGAGGGAGTCTTTTCAGCTTGTCACTGTTAATATTCAGAACCGGATTTGCTGGAGTTTTAAGCAGTCTTTCTTGCTCAATAATCAGCCTTAACACTGCAGTTGATTCTTCGTCATTAAATTTGCTCCGCGGTGGAATTCTACGATAGTTATCAGTTGTATTTTCCATCCTTCATCCGTTTTGTTTTATCACTCATTGCCAATAAATTTTATTCATGTCGTTCTTTAGCCTGTGAAAGGAAAAATCTTTTTAATGTCAAGATGGTTGAAATATTGACAACCTTACGCCAGCAATTAACACTAATATTTTCTCGTGAAATAAAAAATAAGGAACTACTGAACCAATTTCCATATTTTCAAAATAAGTGTCAGTTAAAGAAACCGAAGAACACAAAGTAAAAAACATGTTTTCTTCGTTCTGTGTAAAACTGTCTTATAGACTATAACCTTGCCATCATGTTTCTGTATGGCCCAAAGACAAGTTGAAAATGAAGGCAATTATAACCTCAGAAAATACCTGTCAAGTTAAGCTTATGCTTCTGAAGACGAAATTGGCGGATGAATTAAAAACGTGATGGTGACATTTCGAAGAGGATCTCGAGCACCGGTTTTATTAACACAAGAAATCCGCGGCTACGTGACCGAATTCGAGATGTGTAGTTTTAGTTGCTGTGAAAAGCGTCTCTTAAATGTTACATATCCTTACTGGCGAATCGACTTTTGTGTGTCTATGGCAATTAGTTTTTCATTTACGCTGCATTCTTTGTCACGTTAATTAGGTGCAAAAAAACTCACCATGTTCAACGCTGTATGCTATTATGATCGAGACTGATCAACTTGACTCTGGATAGGATTCCCCTTTTAACATCATAAGCACTTACTGATTAAAGACGACATTTCTGCCGCTAGATATCATAATGGAATGACTCCTTCGATGTATGCGCTTCTTTAAGGGATCCCCGCAATGTTTTCAAAAACAAGCATACTGCGGACAGGTGCAGGAAAGGCGCCACACTGTTTTTCTTACTTGTAACCATAGCGACAAAACAATGAGTCGCCGCTTTTTCCTCACAGAACTCAAAATTTGATCAAATTTTTAGCTTTTCGATAGCTGCAAAAGAGTTTTGTTACCACCATCGGGGGTGAAAATAAAGTGGGACCTGGCGCTGATTTGTACTGTTTTCGAGCGCTCAAAGGCAAGATACTTATGTGATGTGAGAGATTTGCAAAATTCAATTTCTCTCTTATGTCAAGTTTGTGTCAGCTATTGTAAACAACTTACGCAGCTACACAAATTTTATGTTTCTCGATTGATTGTTTGATGGTTAGTATAGCCTCTGACCATTAATTAAGTTCATGAAAGGGGTAAGGTAGTTGGAAAAGTAGATTTGAAAAACGTTAATTTTAAAGGACAAGTTTCCCATGCATAGTTTTGTCATCTGGCATGTAATTTTCTGCTTCTTTAAAATCGCATCAACTAAAATCATATATTTTGGGAGCAATTACTGGATTACCATAAACGCTTTGTTTATCCTGAAGATTTTAAAATTTTTTAAATTCATTCCTTGTGTGAATTTCTGACGAGATTTCGCTTGAATAAAAATAGAACCTGCCGTGAAAGACTGAATTCTCAGAAAATGATCATGTTTCCGGAAAGAAATGCATTTGAGAAGGATCCAATTTCACTTTATGTCTGAATGGATTGTCTTTCCCTTCTGACAAGTTTCGCAAAAGTGGTAAATGTATATGTGTTTTAATATAAAATTTGCTAAAAATTAGTTAAAAAACCCCCTGCAAAGGCACTTCCGTCACATAATTTTACCGTCGCGCTGTATGTTGAACAACTTTTCTGGAAGGTTCGAGGTTATTGCGAAATAGAACTTCTCCACATGACATTGATATATTTCCCGTTGGCAAGGTTAAAAAAGAAAAGCAAAACAAACTAGTGGACTCCTTACCTTCAATAGACTGAGTAAATCAACAATTAGATGGAGCAGCGTGTTGGGAAAATTTTCATAACGTTCCGTCGCCAGCTTCGCAACTCCGCTGCTTCCACTTAAAAATTTTGGAAGATACTCCAAGAATCGGCGACTATTTTAATCTCGAATTGAAAGTTTAGTATGAATACTGTACAAAGGCTTTCCGGCACTATCTGATATCAAGGTCTGACTCCCGAGTTTGTATACGCACCTCTAGAAAGAGCCTCAGTTAAGCAGGATTGGCTTCGAACTACATCTACAGTCAAACAAAAACTATTTCATTGTTAGTTGTTTTGAAGTTTCTTTTGTTTCCACGGTATTAAGCGCTCAAGATTCAACTTCTTTTTGCCAATTTGATAGCTTACACGTAACTGAAGCGTTGGTTCTGGAAACTATTAAAAAAAAGCGGAAAAGTGAGATATTCAAAGATTGCGTACATCGCCCCTGGGGTTGCTTTAGAGATCTGAATACATCCGTGAGGAGAATATACACAACATTACCAGCACTCATGAGCTAAAATGTTGTACGAGATAGATTCGAGTTTGTAATTAAACTTTGGTCAACAACTTTTTTTTTTTACAAATTTTGGTCAATACGCCATTTTATCGCCTGCCAAGAAATACACAGAAAGGCGTTGAACTGAAGTACCTTCTGAAAGTTAAGTGTATCGTAGAATAAAGAAAATTAATTTGTTCACAAGAAGACCTGTTATCATAACTGCTGCTGCTGGTTATTTTTTTCCCAATGTTCAAATTATTGGTTTTTGTCAAAGTTGCATAGATATAAAACATTTACAATAGTTTTTTTGAGATATCTTTTGGTAACTTTTCTGATCTTTTAACATCTGGTAAGCCTTACCGCAGTCTTTAGTTTAATTTAGATTTTCAGATAGTTGCATGCCGCTTATTTAGTCTATCTTCAGGAAAAACATAGCTTTAGGCTAAGTTTTTCGATTGGAATCATTTAAGTGTACTTTCACGGGTATTTAGATTGTCCAATCGTAATTCAAAGCACGAAAATCCCTGCTGAAAAATGGTGATATTTTTTTTACTCTCACTTAGGATAAAATTCGCTCTCGGTCATTGAGTGGGAGCCTGCGGTTAATGAGTGAACGTGCGCGGTGCCCATATTTTTCTCTTGCTTAAATTTACAACGCAGTGGCCGGCAGAATTTAGTTTGTTCCCCAAGAGGTCACCCATGCGCGGTGGTTACACAAAGTCAGAATAGAGATAGTGTCATAGACACGGGGTGGATTGTTTTAAATTCTCTTTCAAACGGAAAATTTATGAATCTTTTAGTTTTAAATGTAAACCCAAGCCACTAATATTGAGTGAAATTTAAAAACAAGAAAGGTTATTTGAATAATAGACAATGAGTTTACATATCATGGAGGAAGGAACCAATTCATTTTCTTTTTTTTTTGAAGAGAAATCGCTTTTGAGATTTAACATTTGTTTGAAAAGAAAGAGAATACATTTGGTGAAACAATTACGTTTTTCTTAGTCCAGAGTTTAAATCGTATAAAGCGCAATAGCTAACTAGATATGTTTCCGTTGTTATAGAATGCAAATGTATACCTTATGGTATGCGTTGATGTCTGTGGCACGGAAAGCTCTGAAAATACGTTTTTTAGGTCGATGTTTCGAGCCTGAAAACCCACCTTGACCAGTGCTCTAATTTTTCTGAAAATTGTCCCTTTTTTTAAATAAACTTTATCTCGAGGCCGTTATACATAACGCAAAAAGTCGACGAATACACTGTTCAATTTCTTGTAAAAATGAATGTGGCATCTTAGAGACACTATTGACGAAAAAAACTCTTATTTCTTTGTCAATGAAACATCTTAACTTCTAATCAGTAAGATAAAGTATGTGTGGCAAAGTATTGAAATAAAAGTAAATTCAAGAAATTCCTCAGCTTACCTTAAACAATTCCAAGAGAACTATGTTTCAGCGGACATAAATAAAACCTCCTGAGAGAATTTATTCATTCGCTAAGACCAATCTATCGTTAAATAATTCATGTTGTATTTTCCGTGTCGAGTATGAAACATTAACTCGTATGTTCTAGACGTCAGAAGAGGTCATTAGTAGTGGAAAATCCATTAATTCAGACCTATGTTTATAAATAAAGAGAGGAAATAAGAGCCTCCCTAATGGGCCATCTTTCATTCGGTGACTTCTTGGCGCCAAACCAATAACAAAAACTACTCATGCTGCTCCTTTTTAAGGTTGAAAAGAGGAATATATAATAAAGGATTACAAAAAAAAGGCAGACACGGTTTCATCACAGGTGGATGAAATTATAATTGAGTATGCTGGAAAATAGCAATTAGAAATGTTTTTGTCAACTGGTATGATAATTTGATAAAAGGCATTTTATAGCGGCTAAATTTAGCAGCGTTATTTAATCAGCCTCATGAAAATTGTGTAGGAATAACGTTTCTTTTCACGCGGATGAGTTATGAATGTAGTCTCTAATAACTTTATCAACCAAATAGTTCAGACATTATCAAGAATATTTCATCTGCTTTTGGACATACAACCGAAAGACAGAGCAAAATTGAAACTTCTCGCTACTAAAATTTGTTTTATTCCTCTCCATTGCAACTCAAAATTAGTAAGGAATTGTGCTAGAAATAAATTTTTTCATATTTACACTGAAAAGGCCATATATTATTCCAAAATTGTAAAATATTTCCTTATCATCAGTTGCTAATAAATTCAGTACGTTACCCCTCATATCGTCACGATTCACCCCTCTTTTGCCTCCAAGAGAAGGCTTATTTAACTTCTATAAAATATAGGCTGTTTCAATTTCGAAAACTGAACTTCCATAAAGCGTAGTTTAGTGTGGTCGATCTATTAATGCTGACCGAAAGGAAAGTGGGCTCAGGTGTAAATGCTTCGTCAATTCATTGTGACATTGTGTATCGCGTACTTGAATCAGTTGAAGGAAATAACATCTGGCGTCTAGAACATAACTCTTACACCGTTGAAACTGGCTTTGATTAACTTCTTACTAACCGAGCGTGAGGGCCCTACTGGGGAATATCGTCCCGAAGTTCTTGGCAGTACGGACCGAGCGGAGCTAGGTCCTTACAGAAGCGACCGAGGGTCATCTTTCCCTTGTACGAATCGAGCAAGCGAGGTTAGTAAGTAGTAATATATGGCACTCGGACCAAACTTGTTTATAGTATATTCCGGCTTTTGCGACCAAAAATACACAGCACAGGACCGTTTCCGTGAAAACGGTCCGTATGCCAAAAAACAGACCGAACATGAACCAATCAGTACGCTCGGATTTACCTCAAGCCTACCTTGGCAGGTAATAATTTGACTAATTGTATAGCGAATGTTTGAAAGAGTTATATATGGGAAATGGTTACTCACTCGTCCATGATAGCACGTAACAACCATTAAGAAAGGCTTACCAGATTTGATTTCATTTTATAGCGAGCGCTTGAATGACTTAATGGAAAATTGTCAGTCACTTGTCCATTACTTAAGTTTTGCATCGCTAAACAACAGCTTTATTTTGCATCTGTGCATGAAGCCAGCTGCACGTCTTCGACTTCTTTACAGATCTGGACTCGCATGTCGGTAACAATGGATTCGTTCATTTTCGCCTCGCAAACGCATTTAAAACTTTTCAATCAGATAAGATTACTTATTACTCATGATATTTAATCTGTAAATGACGGATTTATTGATAAGAGTTTCTTTGTTCAGTCTTTGTGGAACAGATTATTAAGCAAGAGTTTAAACTAATTGCTAATGTTGTCACATAACAATTCGAACAGCGACTAATCAAACCTTGTAATAAAAGTTTAAGTAGAATTCATTTTGCATATTAACCGAATTTAAAAGTTGCAAATGAAGATGGTGAATTTAAGCCTGGTATTTTAAATAAAATAAGATGATATTCAGTGAATATGCTCTAAATTTTTGACTCTGAATTAAGCGCTCGCTGACATGCGACTTCAAGTCACCATGAATTTTTCCCTAGGTTAAACGGAAATATTGATTAATAGTTTTGCTTATCGTTTTAGGCTCTTTAATCACTTTCAAACTCTTTTCTCGACAGCAGTTCATCCCTACTACCTCCATATCGTTATTTATAGATAAGGGTGGCGTCACAAAGCATGAGCGTTCTTCAAAATTTAAAGTTCACTTCGAATAGATTACCATAGAATTTACATGACTATCCAGCGTTCATCTACAATCAGTTCTTCCTAATTGGCACCGAAAAACCGTTTTAGAAACTGTAAGAACGAAATTTTTGATACTCACAATGGTAGTATGACTTCTTTATCGGATAGCCGTGAAAGTCCTCCAAAAATTACTAGATTTCCGAGCAAGCTTTCTTGATTGTCGTCCATGTAGACAATTCTCGTAAGTAAGCGCTGCCTTAACCAGAAGAAAACAAAGTTTACCGCCTCTGATGTACACCTGTACTATGTGATTAAAGTTAATCCCTTTGTTGGGATACCGCGTAAGATTTGTTGCAGCTTCATTACAATTTTGCGGGCGTTTGCGGTGGGATACAACGAAGTAAATATTTCGAATTTCTTTGAAAAAAGTGATCGCGTATTTGTTTCCCAAAGTATTTCAAGTCTCTATTATAAACGTTTTACCTTTTCACTTGTGAAATTTTTTTCTACCGATAACGAGTGCATTTAATAACGTGGGGAAATTCAAAATTTAATTTTAATTATTTCCTCTATGACACACCTTAGTGTTAGGTTGTCGTACTGGTGTCACTTCCTAGCCTGACTTGTTAACACTTCCCTTTTCTGTTTGTTCGGATGGTTGAATTAAGAATACTGTCAACAAAGTAGATTGCTTTTCGGATAGATATCACTATGCAGGTAGCAGTGGGGGTAGCCAAGGAAACCGCCTTAAAAAGTTACACACTTCAAAGCTAATAGAACAATGGTTTTCGGGAACATTTTTTTTTCAGTA